GATAAGATCACCCGAAATTGCTTGTAACCATTGTGATTATTACGTCAAACATCACGCTGCGGTTAACCGGTTAATTTTACCCGGTTAACGGTTGAAGTGTTTTCCCTAAAATTCCCAGCCCTAGCGCTCATACATAACACTGACTAAGGATCCATTAAAGAAAAGTACTACCGTGTTTCCCCGAAAATAAGACTGGGTCTTATTTCAAATTTCTTCCGAAAAATAACACTAGGGCTTATTTTCGGGGGATGTCTTATATATATATTCATTTATCAAGAACAAAATTACAAATGTACAAAATATGAAAACCAATATCCATTTACTTAGAAATAACACGATTTTAGTCAAAATAACTGTAAAACATAGAATATCAATCATTTCAAACGTGTAGTAGGGATTTCTTTCTATCACCAGATAAAAAAAAATTCGCGTTATTGACTAGCTCTTATTTTAAGGAGAGGGCTTATATTAAAATCATATTCAAAATTCAGGCTAGGACTTATTTTCAGGGCAGGTCTCATTTTCGGGGAAAACGGTATCTATAGTGGGGGAGAAATAGACCTTAGTCATTTAAAACCCATCCTACGCGCAAAAAGAAAATTGCGTAAAATTTTTTTTTCAACATTAGCTCTTATGGGAAATGCGATCACCAGAGCAGAAATTTCATTTTTTGGGATTTTCTAGCAATATTTTAGTATGGGCGTGTGCAGTTTTGAAGATAGAATATTTTTTAGATAGTTTTCGATCTTTTTATCACAATAAACACGGTCAAGATTTTTGATAATCGTTCATCGAAATTTTAATAGGCGTGGTCACTCTCGCTATGCTATACCATGACATTCTGCCATAGCATTGTGGTCTGTAATAAAATGCGCGCCGGCTGCTCGTTCTTCTTGTTATCATAGTTCTCCTTCAAACAGGTAAGAGATATCTAATTTTAGGCTAATCTAGCGCAATTTTTCCTGGACTAATTTTCAAATACTACAACCAAACTAAAACGCTTCAAAACACAATATGAATTTAATTCACATTTGACTTTTGGAAAATCAACTGAAAACTGACAAAAACACGCAAAACCACGAAAATATTGCATTGTTTATACCCATGATTGTATGTCTGTCTGAACGAAAGAAGTTTCTGAGCGGTTGCACTAGTTGCAATTGTTACGTCATTCTTGACTTATTGCTGATCGGTCAATGTTACGGAAATAGGATAACGATGCTCAAATATATGGGCACAGAATGATATGGGTATGCAATTTTGAACCCCACAAAGAGCGAAATTTTAATTTTGATGACGTCTTCGAAAAATACAATCTTTCACGACTGAAAATCCCAAAGCAATTGGTCCAGTAGTTAATGGGAAAACCAATTTTTTCACAAGAAGATGAAGCAAAGGAGAAGAAATGAAATACTAACATGATGATGAACAACAACAAATACTAAAACGATCCTCGGTCCAGTTCGTGTCCAATAAACAAGGAAATCGGGCGTTCGGGGAAACATCCACCTCACCACAGGGAAACATCCGCCTGGTATTAGATACTGTACGTAGACGGCCATATCACACCATTTTGAGCTCGCGTATGAAAACACTTCGAAATTTCTCACACTTCCGCTTTTCGCAGGTTCGAACTCCATGGGGTATAATTACGTGCGTATGCATTATTGTATTCATACAATTATGATTGCTGGGATCCTCGCCGCCGTAGGGTAGTTTACGTAATCGCTGGTCAGTTACGGCTTTCTCCACCCCCAAGTTCATTTATCTGCTAATCCCATATAATCGGACGAAAGGCCGTGTTTACCCAAAGAGGCAGATATTCAACGATGGTTGTAAACATTATGTGTTCACGATTTTGCGTGTTATTTGTTCAGTTATGTTTCCAAAAATTAGTTGCAATTAGGCCGCGAGCCGAGGCCCTGAAAAACGCCTAGAAAATGTGAGTTTCGTAGCGCACATCAGGTAACTACCTGAAAATGAATTTAAAATGTTCCTTAAAAATTTAGTAACAAATATTGCCTTGTTCCCACTTCCAAAAGTTGCACGTTTTACGGAAAAGACGCTTTTACTGAAAGAAATATGTGCTACGATCTGTCCTATATTCTCTACATTTTCGGCAATGAACAATGACTTCTGCGTGACGTAACAACTGAATCGAATCAGCTGTTAGCGAGCGGATGAATATTAGTTATTATTGCTCGACCTTGCATTGAGTTGGGCAGCCTTTCCATAGATAGCCCTGTTTAGTTATTATTAGTTAAGTTATGCTAAGACGTTGTTGAAAAATGTATAAGTAAGTTATTAAACACTTGTAGATCCTTACCACGGATATGGGCCGTGAGACGAAGCCTTGAAAACGCCCAGAAAGTGAGTTTCGTAGCGCACATCTGGTAACTAAATAAATTCTTCAGTTTTGTGTGAAAATGAACATACTGAACGCATTACAGCTTGTTCCACAATCCTGATGCGAAATTGAATATAATAGGTTCCCGGAAATTCAATAATCATAAGTCTACAACACATACATAAGAACTATGCAATTCGAGAGCCCTACAGCACACTAACACAAATGTATTCCTGTAATGTTTTGCCTGACCAAAATCGGACTTCCTCAGTCAATCCTAATTTATTAGGTAGATTACGAAAAATATGGCATACATGTAACCAACAACAAAAAATACTTTAATTGTGTGACAGGAGTCGCGAGTGACCTCGAAAGCAGCGACACCAACAACGCTGATTCACATTAGCGAATAAATTTTATGTAATAACCACAAGCAGTTTACAACAAGAACAGCATAAAAAGCTACATCCATTTTATAGAAGCTATCAAACGTATTTATTTTTAAGCAATGAAGTCACAAATTAACATCGTGAGCACGAAAACACAAATAAATCAGTTATTTCTCACTTAGAAATTTACCGGAAAAGTCAAGAAAAATAAATGAATGTACAATATGTACATAACATAGTGAACAAAAATATTACAATTAGTCTTTTTTTAGTTTATGTGGTTATGTATTTGAACAAAGGCAATATTATTTCTATAAACAGGACTACGACACTAACAAATGTCCGAAAAAAATAATAAATGATACTTATTGAATCAACTGCAATATCTAATTCACTTTCTTCTGAATTGTTGTCAAAATCCACTATCTTGAAAATCGACTTTTCCTCTATAAGTGTACTGTGATTTTTGCAGTCAATACAAAAACAAAAATCTGTGCAATTTAAGTTGATTTTGGCACACTTGCATAATTTTTTTTTTCTTACACTTGCAGTTTGCCAACTCAAGAACTGATTTGATGGCCACATGCTTCTTCAGTGAATCATTGTTGGGTGGCAGAGTATAATCCTTATGTTTGCCAGTGTTAAATAGACGTGCCCTGGTATCATTTACATTCTTCATATCCTCTGCATACAGTGAACAAACGAATTTCTCAGCTTTATTTATTAATGCCTCGTTAACCTCAAAAAATCTTCATAGTTGAGAAAAAAATGAATTGAAAACCTCAATGAAGTCTCCAACATGAGTTTGATGGGCAGTTCCAATTGCAAAAAAGTGCTAAAGTATTTCAATATGAATAGTCCAACTAAGCTGTTTGCAACTATTATGATTCTCATATACCTTTACGCTTCAAGACTTCTTGTTTAATCCATTTTATAGCACTGATAGCAGCAGGGAATAGAGCCTGCGTTAGGTCGGATTGGTTGAACATTGCCGTTTTCTTTTGTAGTACAGTATCTAAATTGGGGAAGAAAATCATATTTGGAACAGCATGAGTGTAAAAATACCACTAAATACTAACTAATACCTTGAATACATAATGCATTTTATCTGATGTACAGTCTGAAATGCCAGTATGGGTATGGACTATAAACGATATTTTAAAACATCAACTGTTTGTCTACAAATTGATTTCTCACCTCTCAATCGTTTCCAATGCTACTTTCTTTCCACTCCGGCATAACTTATCATTGCTTCCCAGGTTCTTGTCGACTCTATGAATTTAGATTTAGACCAACCGACATTATTAAAATTGATTATTTTCTTCTCTTTCACACAACCGTGCATTACAGAAACAGCCATTAATTTATATTTCCAAATATGCTGTGGCCTATATAGTAGTATAAGTCTGCTGAATAGTCAAGAAGAGTCATTAAATTAATCATAAACATTTCATGCAAGTCAGAAAATATCGTTGTTTGTGACATATTATTCTAGGACTAGCCTTCCTTGGAGTTACCGTACCTATTTAACAACGTCTTATGAGCTAGTGCTCAACTAAAATTGCTATTTATGGTAAGGATATACAAGTGTTTAATATCTTACTTATACTTTTCAACACCTCCTTAGAATAACTGAATTAAAAATAACTGAAAAAAAAACTATGGAAAGGCTACTCAACGCAAAAGAGAGCAGTAGTAGTACATCTGATATTCATCCGACCACTGGGGATCCATCTACAGCTGACTAATTTGTTTGTTACGTCATGCAGAAGTCTGCGTTCATTGGCCCATGATACCGGAAAAGCAGAGAAAATAGGACAGATGGTAACACATATTTATTGTAGTAAAAGCGTCTTTTCTGTAAAACGTGCCGTAAAACTTTTGGAAGTGGGAACAAGGCAATATTTGTTACTAAATTTCTAAGGAACATTTTAAAATCATTTTCAGGTAGTTATCTTATGTGCGCTACGAAACTGAAAGATAAATGGCCTCGGCTCGCGGCCTAAATTGAAGTATTTCGATTGTCATTATGTCTTCCGATAAGCTTTAGTCTTGTTACCATAATCATATATTAGTACACGGAAAGCTGCGATAGACTAAAATTATCTATTAGTACCTGTAGGCAGCACGTGTTTGTATATTTTAATGAAAAATAATGCTTTTGGGCACGTAAGTCAGTTTGTAAATGTCTTCAAAACACTCACAAAATAAGCGTCAAAGGGTTTTTCGGGGTCAAGGGTCAAAGAAACATCCTACGGAGTCCCTAAAGCGGCGTTAAAGATTTTTACCAGCCAACAAGGAAGATATGCGATTTTTAACAATGGGTCTACGATAATGGACTAGGTCACTAGGGCTTGGGTATTTTTTTTTTTAACTTTAGTGGAAGCGAGCTTGTAAAGATAGAATAGGATTTACGGTACAGCATTTCTTTTCTTTATTCATCATCCAGTCATTAGCCAACAAATCAAACAAAAAACACAAACAGTACCGTAACACTCAATAAGTAAAATAAAATAATTGACTAACAACGTACCGTACCGTAATTGATAAGAGATCGAAAGGACCGTATGGTCTAAATCAGAAAAACTCTTGGGTCTCTTGAGTACCGGTACCGTACTTTCGGTGAGCGAAACATAAGAGAGAGAGATTTTTGTTGGTCTCGTGTAGTTTCGTACCTAACGTACTTTTAGTGGGCGTAAGATAACAATTTTTTCATATGTCAATCCTCACCCTCATCTGACTACGCCATCCGAAAGTTACGTCACTACGGCATCACAATCATCTCATAGAGCTTGCCAAATATACGTACAATCGCTCGAAATGGCATTGGCGCCGACGATAAAGAACTGACTGACATTATCGATCTCTCTCCTATTGGAATCGTTGCGACGAGAAAACGAGAGAAATAACTGTTCGATTTCGGGTGCTCGTTTGCGCGTCTTGGATGGCAATTTGTATAGTTTGAAGGGCTCTATTACGTTACTGTGACGTCGTGTCAAGTAAGTTTTGGATGGTGTAGTCAGGTGGGGGTTAAGATTGATACGTGAAAAAATTGTCATGCTACGCCCACTAGAAGTATGATAGGTACGAAACTACATGAGACCCCTTGTTTTAATGGTTTTGGGTTTAAATGTGTGAGAGCCTATGTTTAGGTTTTTGTGCCTAAAATACGGTAGCGATACACAATCTTAGTATACGGTACTGGTACAGCCGGGAAGACTGCCGACTACAGTACAGGTACCGATTTGACGCTCCTGCAGCTGTGCCAGACGCCCTCATTTCATAGAGTGTTTGTTTTATTAAACCAAATGTTAGAACATCTTGAAATCGAATAACTGTGCTCGACTGCATTATGATGTCAAAAACCCCTCTCGCACATAATTTTATCGCACAGGATTTAAAGCTGTGTGAAGTACGGTAATCATGTGGTCAGCATATTACTAACGCTTAGCATGATGCACCAACATCAAACATTGACATATCTTTGCAGCACACTCTTATTAACGGTGTTAATTCACTAACACAGACTTATTGACGTGATCATGAATTTCAATTGAATGCCTATTATATCTTATTTTGCAGATTACAAATCAAAAGTCATGGCTGGCAATGGAAACTACCATTATTCGCACATTGGATATAATTCGGATAGAGGTAAGAAGAAGCTGTGGTTCATAAAAGATGGATGTGGTGTGTTTTGTGCTGGAATCACATGGGGTTTAGTTTTTTATGCACAGTTTGTTGTGCTAGCTGTTCTCATCATTCCAAATATTTCTAAAAGTGCTGTGTATAGCACTTTTAATGGTCTACTTTTCAATGCTTTGGCAATACTTGCACTGACATCACACTTCAAGTCAATGACTACAGATCCTGGAGCTGTACCAAAGGGAAACGCCACTAAAGAGAACATTGAAAGCCTTCAACTTAAACCAGGACAAATAGTATATAAGTGTGCAAAATGCTTCAGCATTAAACCGGAGAGAGCTCACCACTGCAGCGTTTGCAAGAGATGCATCAAGAAAATGGATCACCATTGCCCATGGATAAATAACTGTGTGGGAGAAGCAAATCAAAAATACTTTGTCCTTTTCACATTATATATAGCAGCAATCTCACTACATGCCCTAATCATGGTTGTTATTCATTTTGTTCAGTGCTTTGATACACAGTGGCAAGCATGTAGTATATTTTCACCGCCAGCGACTATCATTCTTCTGATTACTCTCACATTTGAAGGTCTTTTATTTTTTCTATTTACTTGCATCATGTTCTGCACACAGTTGCATTCTATGTGCTATGATGAAACTGGTATCGAGCAACTTAAAAATGAGAAACATTATCAGGGGAGATCTAAATGGCTGAACATCAAATCTGTATTTGGTGACAAATTCTCTTATGACTGGTTCCTTCCATTTTATCAACCAGTGACAGCTAAACAGGATGTTTATCAGTACATTGTGTAAATTGGTGTATTTTATGTCAATATCGGTAATAATAAATGGTACACCCGTAGTATGTGTACAAGGTTAGGGTTAAGCCATAATTTTATTCCGATTTTCCCTATTTTAGTTCTATTACGAGTTCGGGGACTGTCTGTGTTAGCCAAGTGAATATACCCCCTACCCATAAGCTTCCGCCCCTTTACACAACTTGATGTAAAGTAGGCAAACTTACTAGTCGTAGTTACTTTCATATTGGTACACAACTTAAATATATCAGTTGCCTGCTTCTTTTTGATCTGTAATTTCAATGACTATTTATATTTATTCATTCCATCATTCAGGCTAGTATTATAAAATCAAAAATATTTCATATTTCGAGTGAGCCCAAACATTCCTCATACGATAAATGTACTTTATTCATTTATTTGTGGAATTTACATTAGTTTTGTTCTAACATTAAAAACATTTCAGTATCACAATAATGATAATGACATATTTGCTAATAACAACTCCCTATCTATTTCAATTTGAAATCAGTTTGATAACCACCTTTTCGGCATGATGTACATTGGTACACAATATGATTATTTAAACACATTTTTAACTTATCTTTTGTTTATAAAAAACATATGCTTATTTTTCTGACATTTTTTTGTGAATTGTGATACTTTTGAACTCTATTATCCTTAATAATATGCAGTTGAATACAAAGTACTGGTAAATAGACCATACGAATTTTGAGATCTCACAAAGGCATTTGAATTTTAGCTGACATCTTACCATCGAATTTTTGACATATTTAAATTCTAACAATGGTCAGGTTATGCCTAGTTACTATGTTGGTTGAACATTACTGTGAACCTGATACATTTCATGTGAAGTTTTCGCTTTATTTTCACACATTATTTTATTATTCTTTTTTAATTAATAATGCAGTAGAGACTAGTTGCGTGGACTTTTCTAATGCTATACCTTTTTATCATGAATATATACTGAGTTTAGATGTTAATTAGGGTTTTTGCAATAATCCAAGACCACACCACAGTTTTTGGAATTATAGCTGAATAAATACTTCCTTTTGTGTGTCCTTTTTGGTTAGTTAAAGTGTTCAGTTTGACGATAAGTCTTTTCTGTATAAAATAAGTATTATGACTTAGTACATATTCTTATGAAACCATATGCGGCAAAAATTAATTGATGAAAACAGTAGACAGTAGTTGTACTAATTATTAAATGTATCACCATTAATGAGTTATACTGGTGAGTCGCAGATTGAATCAAAAAGTTCACAGCCCGTAACGAAATTTTCAAGATAAAAGCGGTGGCATATTAATTAAATACAGCCACCATCTGATGTAAAATTCAGAATTGGAATCACAGAACTAACTGGGACCTTTGGATCCTCCTAAATGAGCTACAAAAGTTGTTTCTCGGGCGAACAGAACAACGAACATCTGGATTGCTGAACTCCTCGCCGCCGTAAGGTGGTTCACGTAACCGCTGGCCGGTTACGGATTCCTTCACCATCAAGTCCATGCTTCCGAAAACAAATAACTGGCTAACTACTAATCCCATACCCGACCTGGACTGGTAACCGGACGAGAGGCCGTGGTTCGTCATATGATTAAGTTGTCTTATCGGCTTTCTCTCCCCCGGGATAAATATGTATATCCTATCTCGGAAAAATACGTTCGTTTGATGCATTGAATGGCCCCCGTTAATCATAAATTTCTTGGTTGTTAGCTTTCATATGTAACAATTCTTGTATTTCTAGGTACAAATTATGCACGTTACTGCGTTTGTTTGTTTTGCATCCTATTCAATGGCGGATAAAATTAATTGCCCTAATGTGTCCCTGTAGCCTCCCAGAATTGTATCTGACGCACTGTTAAATTTCTTGACGTTGCCGTCATGATTGTGTTTGTCACTTGAACAACAGCTGTCTAACAATAAAAAATTCATTTGTTCCATTAATTTATCAACTGTCGTATTCCTATTTGTAGAGTTTACACGCTCAGCGAGCAGCATTGCATCACGTAATGTCACAGCTAGAGATGTAGCCTAAGTTTCAAATATTTTATTCTAGAATCGAATTTCGAATCAGAATGCTCCGATTCGAATATTTCCAAATCTGATTGTATTTTGTATTACATGATATCCAGTGTTGGGATTCAGCCGGTTCTTTATAACCGTCTTGCGAACAGCGGACCGGGTAGCAATAATGGTTTATTTACTAAAAATATATGACTTTTTGTAACAGAACCGGCTGAAAAATATGACTTTTGTGATAGAACCGGCTGACAAAAAATTTGAATCCCACCACTGATCATATCTATTAACTATCTTCAAATTTGGAAGAACTATATATATATATATATTATGACTGAAAAAATTTAGTTTTGTTGCACTCAGTTACATATCTATCGTTTCTTAAGTATAAGTTTGTTCCGACTCCATAATCAGCAATAAACGATAAAGCAATTGATAAAAACAAAATAAATAAAACTGATTATAGAATCGGGAAAGCAAACGAAATCTCAAGCAAGGTTTAAAGCGTACATATTTTAGGTGGGAAAGTATTGATAAAAGAATTAGTACGTGTTCGCTCACCCAGCTTCTTCTAAACTTAACCTTCAAAGTTCATCCAAATGAAATTCATTGGTCAGACGGATAAATTACACCCGGGGAATATAGCTATTTTTGATGACCAGCGACATGCGTTCAGATCAGGAAGTAGGAAATTATACGATTTCAGATAAAAAATATTTAAAGTTTACAAACAAACATGGACGGATTCCAAGTAAGACTTAGAATGACGACGAATCTTCCCCATATCTTGGTCATATAAGCAAATATGCTGTCTAAGGTAGTGGTCCGCCAAATATATTTTTCAATATATATATATTATATCTCAATAGAAAAATGCAAGGCATTGATGCAAGGCCTGTCCATTTATTTTATGATTCCTATTAATGCGTAAACCAAACTTGGCTCACTTAAAACCTTGAACGGCTGGATGTTTCGTTAATACTATGGCGTCATTTCGACGGACATCATAACGGAGGAGTTCGAGAGCACCATAGTAGGCTACATGTCTTGTTAAATTTTATACTGATTGGAAAGCTCACACGTTTCGTAATTTGTCAGTATAATTTAATGAAATTTGATAGACCAAACAGAAATCGTGTTGAAGTTAACGCTCGACTTCTTCATTTTGCAGAAACTTCATTAGAACCGCGTTTAACACGTATGATATCAAGATGGAAGCAGCAAGTTTCATATTAAATTGTCTGCTTTTACTTACATACCTATTTCGTAATTACATTCCTTTGATTATGTTTTGTGTTTTTTAGGTTAATTTTGAAGGTTCACCGGTACGCAAAATTAGTTTTGAAATTTAACGGTCCGCAAATTGAAAAAGATTAAGAACCACTGGGTCTAAGGCATATTGCGATTTTGGTAGTTTACTGATTGTTTTAAATAAAATATATTGTTATAATCTTTATAATACATATTGAATGAATTTCATCAAAATATTACAAGTTAGTAAATTTGTCGCTTACATTTCAGTCTCTTGAAGCTTAAGTGTCATGTCATGCACGTATGATTCAGGTTTGATTTTTAGATTCAAATTTTTTGTCCATCAGACCCTCATTGTTCTGACCAGAAAGTGAGGGTATTTATTACGATATTTTATAATCGGAAGATATTTTTTCAGAAGAAGACTTCCAGACAATTTTTGTTCCGTGATTTGGCCGCATATCGCTTTGTTATTTTATCATCATCATCAGAAAGGAAACGAGCAGAAGAAAAAGAATTGCACGACCTTGCATATTTTGCGATAAGTGTATTGTGAAGCTCAAAAGACATCTCTGTACAATACATACATATAGATGAACCGACAGAAAGCAGAATCTTGTCGCTTCCTTTTGCAAGAGACAAGTTCGATTCACTGAGAAAAAGTGAAACTTATCAGTATATATAATATTAAATCATTAAAGCAGCATAAGCTATTGATAGCAGAGAGAAACCAGGTCCGGCCGAGGCAGCATGAAAATTTGCACCAATTGTTCCGGCTTCTTCCAAGGAAAGAAATTTCATAGATATCATCAGTTGTGTCAAAGGAAGTTCGCTAGCCCTGATTCTGCGATGGGTTGGTGCATCGAATCCATCACGACGCATTCGCTGACTTGCTCGCAAAGTTTCAAAATGATGAAAAGGAAAACTTTTGTAGGCAAGATCAGTTAATAAACACTGTCGGTCGAAGCCAATTTCAGAAATACCGAATAAAAAATCAGAATCGAGGAAAGCCGTAATGGCGAATATGAGATTGTTGGTAAATTTTTGTCAAATCCAAATCATGTGCAACCAAACAAAATGTAAAAATATAATCAACGAATATTCTTCAACGCGAGTATTTTATGTTTTTAGAAGAAGCCATACAAAATATTGCAACACACGAGAATGGTGCTTCAAAATCAGGGTTAATAATGGTCAATATTGGAAATTTACTCAAAATGGAGGTCAAAGTAATGAAAGGAACCTACTTTTTGAATCTGGATGTCTCAAACAGCTTTACAGCAGGTGACGACCCGGGACTTATTGGACACGTAGTGGACATAACGATCGTTTCAATATTATGTTGTTTGACACAGAATAACACACCTAGTGGAAATATTAAAAAAACGCTTTTCTCTTCGAATACTGGACCAATTGCTTAGAAATTTTCAGTGGTTGAAGATAAAATTTTTCCCCAGAAGGCTATTACTTTTATTCATTTTAAATATTTCTGTTAGCTCTGTGAGATTCGTTTTCGTTTGCTATGACGTCATTAAACATTCAGCGGACATCGGACGCCATTTTGTGTCCTACTGTACTGCTTCGCTTGGTGTGAATATATTTGTAGACTGTGATCTGACGGTACGGTAAACCGTACTGTACTGCGAACAGACGTGTCCTTATATTTGGGCGTAGCTCTCTTGTCTTGGTGATTGTGAACTATATTTAGTAATGATATCGAACCAAATATTGAATAATAACTCACAACTACTGTAGGATATGAGAATGACAAGCGTTACGTCACCGAAAAATACTGCCATGTACCCGCTTGCCCCCATTTTCAACATACTGTATTTTTTTCTTGTCATACAATTTTGTGGCAATTGCAGTGATACACAAACTCGTACGTTTTTTTTTGTCAGCACTATCTTTCTTCAGATATCAGTGGCTGTTTATACCTGGGTCTTGGTTCGAAACGATACGCGCAAGTAAGCGTCGTATTAAAAATGAAATTTCGCCCCTCCAAAAAAAGATTTTAGGCCGGCTACGTCGAATTGTCCCCGCGAATAATTGAACCCATGAACGTTTTCACAATTGTACATTTGCACCCATGTACATTTTATCTCATGTGTGTGGGTGCCAAAATTCACGGGTGCAAATGTGCGGGGGTTTAGTTCAAATGTCCGTAGTTGCGAAAGTACGCTTGTGCACTGGTCAATAGAAGGAAAATTCCGTGGGTGCAATCTGTATGTGGGTGCTAAAATCTTCCAAGAATTTTTTATTTAGTTTCAGTAATCAAAAATTAGTCCCAGAAGCAGTAACTGACTAAGATAAAATTAGGCACTTTTAAATGACATTAACATCCAAACCTATACTCAGGGTTGTCATCAATATGAACCCAAAAATAAGGACATCAGGGAAACAAAATGAAAAGATAACAATGAACGAAATGTAATAAACAGTGTTTATTTAAGTTAACTCATTCTATCTCCTATGAAGTTCCAGATCTAAACTAAATTTAAAGTATAATTTACTGGTATATTCGTGTTTTGTCTAAAGCACTGATTCTCGACTAGTTATAAAGTCGAAATTAACACGTGCTGAAATGCTTGGAGACAAGACAGCCGCTCAGAACGTCAAAAAACTAAATCAGCAGGCTACTGCTACACTTATCATATCTATCAGATTCTGAATAATTCTACTAGTCAACTGTAAACCTCTTATTCACTACTGTATTTTGACTCAAGTTACACGAAGCACGAACAGATCTTTGCCGGTAGATTATTGTTTTTGTCATTGTGGAAATTAAGATTAATTTGCTGTTATTACGTCATAAATGCGCGTAGCATTCATTGGGTTTCCAACATTATTTCTAGCAAATCATTCCTTCTAATTAACCAATCCAAGTGCCCGGTATACAAAACTCTACCCCAAAAATAAGGACACGTGTCAAAATATGGAGGTTGCTTAGAAATAAGGATAAAAATATTTTCCAAGACAAAACCTTCAAAATAAGGACTAATCTTGGAAATAAGGACGTTGTGGCAACCCTGCCTATACTGGAGCGGAGTTGTGAGATATCTTGTCTTAGGACAGAAGCATTTCAACTCTAGTAACCCGAAGCTGCTTTGTCTGTAAGGGAATTAGCACTTGAACCTTGCTAATGATTTTCGTATACTCTCACGATTTTATCGAGACCTACAAATTCTTGCGTATTGTAGTGTGTTTTACGATCCAGGAAGATTTTGTTGCGCCTATATGCTAACCCCTGCTGTATACAAAACAAAATTACTCCCTCAAAAGCAACAATTTAGTAAAAACGACCCATAGGCATATTTAGGGTCAAAACTCATTTGGCAAAAAGAACCAGTTTGATCGTTTGCCAAATAGCATGAATCAGGCATGGCGCCTGGTTCTACGGCAGTGTTCTTCAACCTTTTTTTTCTTGGTATACCTTTTAGGCTTTTACAATTTTTCCAGAACTTTGTATACCTTACAAACACCAATGTTTATTTAAGGCCTAAATGAACAATGAATTTTGAGCACATATTATACTGCAATATCATCATGCAATCTAATATAGGCTAGCATCCGCAAGTTATAAATTTGACTGACGGCCTTAGCGTCAACGGGAATGATGTTCAACGTTAAACAAACGAAGTGCATGGCAGCCGAAATCCCCAACCAAGACACGTGACCGCATTATCTATATAATTTGTGATGTAACAATGTACTCATGTCGATTCTTTGCGTAAATGACACTTTATATTTCTTGTGCGCCGCGTTTGCATTGTTGTCTCCGCTTGAATATTTTATAATTTATTATATTATAGTTTAGAATCCCTGACTTAGGCTGTATACCCTTTATCATTTGTATACCCAACTTATGGTCCGGTATACACTTGGCTATACCCGATTGAAGAGCATTGTTCTACGGTATAAAGTGGGATCGAGGGCACAATTTCAAAATATATAATCAACAGCCCTCAGTCCTTTAAAATGCATCACACGCAAGAGATACTTTACACGACACCTTTCATTAAAGTTTCATTCTCAGGATTTTTTAATATTTATTCCGAGGGAGGGGAGTGAGGATAACCGATAGGGCAGCTTAATCATATGACCTACCAGGGCCTCTCGTTTGGTTATCAATTCATGTCGGTATGGAAAAAGGTAGTCTCTTATTTGTTTCAGATGCGTAAACCTGGTGGCGGAGGGATCCGTAACAGACCACCGGTTACGTGAACCACTCTCGTTTGGCAACGATTTATTTAAAAAACATAAACAGTAGTATATGTTGTATTAAGAACGAAATACAAGGTCAATTTAGCTGTAAAATGCAATTAGTATTGTACTTTTTGTCAAAGGAAAGCTGACAATTTCCACTTCGTCAGAAGTCCATAAACTCTGATATTGTCAGGCCCCCTTTCGAGAAGCTAACTTAATGTTATAGCCAGGGCTGTCATAAGATCCTTTTTTCTAAGATTCGCCCTTATTGTTAAGGTCTTTGTCTTAGAAAATATTTTAGTCCTCATTTCTAAAAACTGTCCTTATTTTGATATGTATCCTTATTTTTTGTTTTATTATAATAGTAGAGGTTCTTACACACTTAGATTGGTCAATTCGAATGAATGATTTGCTAGAAATGATATTAGAACCTCACTGATTCATACGCATTTTCACGACGTGATAACAGCAAGTTAATTGCCAAAATGACGAAACAATAGCCTACCAGCAAAGAGGAGTTCGTGTAACTTGAATCAAAATACAGTAGTGAATTAGAAGTCTTGCAGTTGTCGAGTAAAAATAGTTAAGATCTGATAGATTTGATAAGTGTAGCAGTAGTCTACTGATTTAGTTCCTAAGAATAAAGGACTGCAGGAGCAAATCCTTTCTATAGTGCAAAGTATGATTATACACGGGTCGCACAGGCATGAATATATATTTTTTTTTTATCTTATTATTATGTTTCCCTGGTGTCGGTATTTTTGGGTTCTTATCGATAGCAGCCTTGGTTATAGTCCTTTTTGGACTATAATTTTATATTAATTAATATATGGCAATTTGTGTTTATTTGAAATTAGAATAGTCGATTAGTCGCACATATGTATGATATTGTGCAGATTAATATCATATTCATAACGCTATAGTACGACATTATATGTAGGAAAAGTACAAAAATACACATAAAATCTCAAGTGCAAATTGAATAAATAAAAAAGTCATCAATCAGAACGATGGATCTTTGTAAAATAGCAACCAGAGTGATCACTCTATCGCCACGCCTCCACGGCAATGTTTCGGCTGTAGATGTAAATGAATTGAATTATTATCAAGTACAGGTTCATGATCAGTTGTATATTTTGTTGGGAAAACAAATAATCGTCATGCCAAGGTACGATCGCAAGTACTTCTATTTGCCCTCATGACACACAGACGTAATTCTACAAATAACAAGCCGGTAGGCGCCCAGTTGGATCTCCGCCATTGCTTGAGGCCCGCATCATTTCAGTTTACTAACGGATAATAGGAAACACTACTAAAAACGCCAGTTCATTTAAACGCTGCGCGTTCCGCTAAGTTCATTTTAAACGCTGCGCGTTCCGCTAAGTTCATTTTAAACGCTGCGCGTTTCGTAGTCTTACTCGCGTGACTGGTATATTGTGGCTGAAAATTAAAAATAATCTTCACTAAAATCCCTAAGGCTCCTCCAGTTTATGGAGTATCGAGGCCAAAGATAACTTATTGGAAAGAGTGTTTTGCTATGCGGAAGGTAGCATTCTTGGAATTTTAATTTTCGACTTGGTTGGCGAGAAAACGGCGATAAATTGTGGAAAAAATTGAAATTTCATAACGATTGGCGCTTTTTTTCATGGAAACGAAACCTCCATCCGGACTTTCTATGAAACGCACAATACTAGGGTGACAGGATAACCCACGTGAAAAATTTCATCCTAATTGGTCCAGCCGTTCAGACGCTACGTCTAAACAGACAGACAGATACACAGACAGAACGACCGATAATAAGGGTCTTCTAGACTGAGCGGAGATCCAACAGAACGACCGATAATAAGGGTCTCCTAGAGCGGAGATCCAACAGATACACAGATAGAACGACTGATATTAAGGTTCTCCTATAGAGCGGAGATCCAACAGACAGACAGACAGAACGACTGATAATAAGGGTCTCCTATAGAGCGGAGATCCAATAGTATTATTTGTAGAAAATTTCGAATGAAATTATTTTCACGGGGTCTTGACTACTCTGCAAAAGTTAGGAAAACAGTTTTACATTTATATTCAGGTTCACTTGAGATATACCGTGTGGTCGTTTTTTGCCGTTCACCTCTATCGAAAAAATGGACTAGCTTTTCATATTGTTCTCATCGTCTTGTTTTTTATGTTTCATGCAAATGATTCCCGAAACACATTAATGCTTTAGATTCTTTAGAACAAACTATCATAATTTACAAGTTTGTCCGCTTGACTTCGAGTCAGTGTATGCGTGGCATTATCAGCGCTGAACTTTGCGATTCAGCGTTGTACAAAGTTATACGTTGTGCGCAGCAGTTAGTATTTCAGGAAAATCGAAAACCACGGGCGATTCACGCCGAAAGTAATTTAACATTGTTGCTATTGCGCTTTTTAGTATCCATCTTGTGGGAGAGGTTTTGATTGAGAATTGTAATGCCCTAGATCAGGGCTACTCAACTGGCGGACCGCGGTCCGAATCCGGACCTTTCGAGTATTGGATTTGGACCGCACCTAATTATTTATTTTGGATCATTAGCCCCACTTTTTGAATTTCCTATTGTAAAATGACTTTCATAGTTTTGAATATATACGAAAAGAACTATAACACCATAATGAACAATTTTAATTTGCTACTAATCATTAGTCGGTCGAGGAAGTGCTCGTTTAAGGATGCCGAAAAATCATTTCTGGAAAGACCGGACCCAAATAATTTTGAAGTTTTGTTTGCGGACCTTCGATAAAAATAGTTGAGTAGCCCTGCCCTAGATAATGCATTCAAATATTGAATTTTATTCAGCAAATCTGCTAAAAGTTTGTATTTTTAGCACAGCTTATCCAGGGTTAAAGTATTTATTTTTGTGAACTATAATACCTCTTCGACCAAATCAAAATAATTCTTGATCGTTATCAAGAGGCAAGTATAAAGTTCAATTCTCTAAAAATTGTCAATCCTGTTACAAAATAAATTTCTATTCGGACAAAATCAGTCCAAGTTGCAAACGACCGGAGTTAACGTAATCGCAGATTGAATGTTTTCTCACCTGTATTGTGGAAAAGTATCTCTGTATCTGCTGCTGCTCAAAAACACAAAATAAATGTTGTTAGAAAATGGGTCAAAAAGTGAAAGAATTCCACCGATCCGTTATAACTTGCTTGTTAAGTGTTTATCCATAACATAATATAGAGTGTGTAATTGATACACAAATTGGATGCCAAACTCTTCGTTTGACCTTCATTTTCAGAAATTGCTTATTGTTCTAACCCAGGGGTGGGGGAGAATTTTAGACCAGGGGTCAAAAATTTCGCCCACCTAGACTGACGGGCCATGTAAGTGTGACGTAAAAAGTTTCATTCCATGAACAATATTTACAGTGTTACAAAAGCAAATATGGAAAACAAAAAGCCTCGGCCCAAAACTAAATTTAATCGCAATCTCGACAAATTCCGTGAGCTATTTTTTTAGCTAAAGTTTTAGTTTGGTGGTGATCAAAGTGACTCTTTGGTTGTGATAGGATCAGACGCGCCAGATTAAAATACCCAACAGACCGGATTTTCACAATAGAGCGTCCGCATATGTAAAAACGCCTGACAACAACGAACCGACGACTGATAAAAATTTGTTATCAATAAACTATAGAAAAAGTAAAACTTACTATACGTTAGCGGGAATCGGTCTTTGTGCATACTGATCCAGTTTAGGCTCTTGAACTAGAGTGTACTGAAATTTAAAAAAATTATAATAATATAGCACAAACAGAATGATGAGCAGGAGTACCATGGTTAGGAAGTCATTATGCTTACAATTTATATAACAATTCGTCGTACACAGACTTTCTGAGATGATGAAATACGGCGGTCTTATTTGATATTTTTCTCATAATTCAATTAGGTAGCAATCTCTTTACTGGAATGAAATAAATGGAAATCATAGTTGATATACAAAGTTAACAACTACTTAAGTTGCCATAAAATCATTGTTTGAAATTTTTGGACCTCCAGAAGTATGTGCACCAAGATGGCGCACAACCTGAACATAGTATGTGTACCGGGTTGAGGTTCAGGTTGTGCGCCATCTTGGTGTTTGGTCTTCTCGGAGTCGGGTTGTTTGGGAATGCAGCCCAAAGCGGGTGGTAAACTCCACCTATTCTCCTCGCAAAACTAAATATTCCAAAAATGTATATTTATGACATTTTCTATTTTGTCATCGACTAATAATATACGGAAATATAAAAGTAAAAAAAGAGCATTGGTGAGACTAATAACCGTTAGTATGACAACAGAAAATGGGATGATATTAAGATTTGTAACCACTGATTTATCATGATATAACACAGAATCACCAGAAAAGCAGTGTTACAGCGGAAATAAATCATATCCGGAAAATTCGCCGGAGGAAATTTTTGCCTTAGGAAATCTCGCCGCAGGAAATTTCGCCGCATAGGAAAATTCGCCGCATGAAAAATCGCCGCAAGAGACTTTTGCTGTAAAACAAGTATTTGTGATAAAAACAGTCAGGTTTATAGGGTTAGGGCAGTGGTTCTCAAATTTTTTTGTGTTGTGACGCCCTCAATAAAATTTGCTCAAGTTGCGACTCCCCGTGAAAACCGTCTTCAACAAAAGACCTTTTTTGCAATAAGTTTTATTTGAAAGAACAAATAAAACTTGACGAAAATAGCGTTTAATGCGATGGGAGTACTTGCTACTTTTTACAATTGCCATAAAACCTTGGAGTGAACTGTGAAAGCCACACGCATTTTCCTTTCAACAGTTACTCGAGAGAGATTTTTTGCCTTCATTACGACCATGGTAGAAAGGCTTGCTTCACATAAATACGAAGTCGCTTTTTTAATCAAGGAACGATAATCTTTATCCAGGAAAATCCAAAAACTCCTTAAATTTTCAGAATTTATATTTCGTTTAATATCGATTCAGTTCAACAAAGTGGCAAAAATAGGTCGCAATGTGTTGTTTGTAGCAAGATTTTGGCCCGTGAAACCATGTCATTTAATTAGCCTAAACAGCATTGAGTAACATCGCATCCGCAGTTGCGGCAAAAATCTTTTTTACACGAGAGTTGAACGATCCAAGTTTCATGTAGCTATCATTATACTTGCGAATTTTCTTTTTAGACTCTTCTTGTTCAGTATCAATTACGCTTGTACATTTCGGCAGTTCGATTTTATATTAAGTCTTGTTCTACAGGTACAATTCCGCAAAAGAAAAAAAGTTTCGCGACGCCCTAGCAAAATTGAAACGACACACTTGGGCGTCGTGACGCCCACTTTGAGAACCCCGGGGTTAGGGTATGCTCTTTTATAACAAACCTTTTTTAATTAAAAATGTATTTCAAAAACCCAACTGTTTTTATCACAAATACTATTATAATGTTCACAAACAGTTTATCTTTAAATGAAATATAATTAATTCTCTAATCATGCGCTAATACAATTTTAGTTCACCTTCCATGACTGTGTTACTTGTGGCTTCAAATATCTGACGGCATATCCACTGAATCGAAAATCTATAAATATTAAAAACGTTTAAGTTAATTAAACGCGAATAATATGTGATAATTGAATATTACGCATTTCTGCCATGCTTGCTTGAAACACACGAATAAGAAATAGGAATTTTACAGGTTCGGCAAACTCCTATTTGTATCACCTAAAAGTCTTCTTCATTCGATAAAAAAATTGTATTTTATATAAGTGAATTTTACAAAAAAAAGTTTTTCTCAAAGCAAGATCACGCACAGACTCGGTAAGGGAGACTTATCCATAAACAATATTTCGGGAAACCACTGAGAATACATAATTAATGGTTGTGCATTACGCGCAAGCAAATGCCGATTGACACAAGACTAACGCAATTCAAGTCATACAATCAGAATTGTTCCAATTTAACCTTGTCAATAACCGTGTAATCAAATTGTCAGTACTTTAAACGCGATATATGCTCAATCACGGTCACCTCCAGAATTTTGGGTGAAAAAAATGGGTCTTTAAGTCCGAAGAAGTTTACGAAATTCGCCAAAACTACTGTTCTGTCCCATTCATTGAATTGTGTTTTATAGGATACTTTTAGTCTCGCCACTACCACAAGTTTCTTTACCGTCTCCTATGAATATGAATATTTCTTCTTCTTTTTAACTACGTGACCAAGTATAATATAATTTATATAAAATATCGTACATTTCGGATCATACTCCGGCAGTCTGAATTCTCCGGCAGATGATATAAATCTTGACCAATCTTTTTTTGAAGAACTGAACAAAGTAAAACGAATTTGCGCATAAAATTAAATCAAATTTTGATCGTCATCACCAACAGTAATCCTTCGTATTTAAGCCTTTAAGTAAAATTTTCTATGTTTGGCTCGTATTCGGAAATCCAACATGGTTTTTCAAACCTTTGGAAAAGCATTGTTTCTCAACACGTTGGTAAATCACGTGTCCAGAAAATTCGCGCGTCACTACATACCCTCTAGCTGAGTCTGGCCAGGGGCGAATCTGGGGTATGGCAGCCATGGCTCATGGCTCGCAAAATGACGAAATGTTTCAATCGTAAAATGTCTCAATTAATTGCTCAATAAATCCCAATTCAACAACATTAGCTAAAAATTGTCAGTCAATGATCAAGGGGGCGCATTTTTAAACTTTGGCCATGGGCGCCATGTTTATACGTAGATACGCCACTGGCTCTAGGTATTGTATGCATATAGTTATAGTATATACCTATCATATATCACACCCATATTGAAATATAGCTCATAATGCAAAATGAATATAACCCTTTTACCTGAGCATGAATTGGTTCTTCTCGGGAGATGTATGCGTGACACCAGACGGGTAATCTGGGATAACTTTTTGCAGTGATCGCCCGGTTTCTGTGATTCTCTGTAACGAAAAATCAGACAAATTGAATGACTTTTAATTCAAAACACTGTTATTCAGTAACCAATAACTACAGCATGGTGAAAATAATAATAATATATTCAAAATGACAATGACTCATGAACAAATTCGAGTTATTTATTTTTTATCGAACACGTCGTGGAAAGTAACGTTAATTTGTGTTTTCTTCAATTAAAAAGATAAATTATTTTGAACAAGGAAAATGTCTTCTAAAATACGTACCGTTCCAGAAAGAGGCTTGTTAGAGTTCTGAAAATAGCTGGTGTTTGAATCGCTGAAATTTCCTGTAGAAAAACGGTTACCCAATTTTCCAAGTTATACCTATATATATATATATTTATATAGCTTTTATATGCTTGTGTGTTGTCGCATACATGTTTGAATTGTAAATATATTACATTTTCCATATATAGACACTATACACGTAACACATTGTTTATGGTTGATGAAGTACTGAAACATGTTCGCTTGTAACAACAATAGCTCAGTGTCAAATATCCTGATAGTTTACATATACATAGTCCAATTAGCTCATGTTGAAATACCTATATGTTTTAAAATACCACTCGGCCTTTGTTCGTATTTGCTGATACAAAAACAACTGTGGCCTTTTAATACAAAGTCGAGTTTCATTTATTTGTATCATAGATTGGTTGTAAAGTAAGACTCGAAAATTGCAAAATAGACTACTCACTGGGCCCACACGAAGTTGTCGTTCTACAATGCTCGTCAGATAATTTGTGTGTAGCCGTATCCATGTCCATACGACGCAAACTTGGTAGTCTTGGGTGATATATCCCCTCCTGAGTCAAAGAAATTGGGTTGGATTGTTCAATAAAGAACCATACACACGTTGCAACAAGCAGAGAAGTTATCTGAAACGCCTTTGAATGAATGCAAAGTTGTGCCTCATTGCGTAGATTTAACCTGTTGTATTTTACATATTTCAGGCAGCGAGAAAAGAATTTTTGACTGACGCTTAATCTAATGAACTGATACTATTACATATAAATATGCAGAAAATTAGTTACCTTTACAGCAGCCAACATAACTCTTCTGAATGGCGGGTAGTTATAGTCTGTGTGATACTGGAGGTGCGCATTTGGATGATCTTGCGTCGACGAATCCATTTCAAGTTCTTATTTAGATTAATTTCAGATACCCACTGGCTGCGTTTTCCTTACCAGTAGCCAGAAAAAATCCGCTACCTTTTTCACATCAGCTCGGAAAAGCAATAGCGCTTCAATGTGTATTTGCGTAAGCCGTAAGGGCACTAGCTGAAGTGTCTATTGTTTTATTGTATTATTATGAAATAAAGGGTCATTTCATGTCTGATCGTTGCCAAGGATACAGTCGAGGATCGTGTTTGCGAGCGCTCTGGCGCGTGTCGTGCGGCTTTACAATGTTTGCCTGCCATTCAAGAAGGCGGTGCTAGTGTCATCGTATTTACAGATTAGGCTGAGGCAACGGTCTTGAAACACCGAGGCATGGCCTCCCCTAGCCGTTACAACGCCAATGTTTCATATTATATTATGACGTTTTATAACATTCACAACGCCACTAGTGCATTTCCCCCAGAACTGAACGAGTTGAGAATACAATAAAGTTACACAATTTTACATTCTATAACATTCGACTCTGGCAGATATTGCCGGTAAAATAAGAACCTTCACAGAATAAGGTATCATAATACTGGCGTTTTTTGCATTATTTCAGTTTTCATGTCCCAGTCACCATCATAAACGTCCGCTCGACCTTTTCTACGGAGATCCGTATTCTCATTGGGTGATCGAATTATAGAAAACGAAACGGAGGCAGTCCATTGCTTTACAATATATATATATACCGTACATGTATTAGGTTTGTGTCAGGTGCATACACTTATGGGGTTTTTAACTACAGCGAATGCACTGTTTGCCCAAATCCTTGACTGTGCAGAATAGGGTTGCCAATTATGAAAATTCTCAATAAAGGACATAGATTACCATCATCATTTATTTTGTAACTTGCAGGAAAGAACAATATAAAACAATGAAATACAAATTATATACAAGCTAAAAAGATATATTAAAAAATCTACATTTGTTTTTCATTTAATGTTTATTTAACATTGACCCAATCAAGCTGCATTCTGTGAACAGTTTAGTTAGTGCTTTGAATCGAGTCAAATTTTTTTTGAATGAGTGCAACTTCATCAAATAGGTCAAACATATTCAAATTAAGTTTGTTTTTTAGCTTCAAATGCTCTACAATTTTTACAAGTGTCTGATATTTTGGAGAAAGATTATCCAAAAGAGATAATATTCCAATTGTTAAATTTTCATCAAAGTCAAATCTTTTTTTCCAAATACGTTATCGCAGAGTTGAGAAATAATCTAAAATCTTAGATACCAATTATACGTAGAATTTTCAGTTATTGAACTAGAATTCACTCAAATCTTGCAGTGTTGCCACTTGCCATCTTCGGAAAATTAATGTAAAATATTTGAAATTGTTAATAAAATTGGTATTTCTTGGCTATTGGCTATTTGTGCCGTACCAAAGCGAAATTAAAAAGAATAATTAAAAGCTTGCAAATACATGAACGGAGGCGATTTAAGAACGAAACAATATCAAACACAGTACTATGACTATCGGGCAAAACGACGTTGGAAAAAATAAAGGACAATTATCATCTTAAAAAGGACAAGGACAAAAATCTCAAATAAAGGATTGTCCTTTGAAATAAAGGACGGTTGGCAACCCTAGTGCAGAAGTGCATTCTAATAGATATTGTAAAACAACTTAGAATGAACTTCACATCGGATCATTCACCACCGGCTTTTTTATTCACTGATACTTGCCTTTTTATTTGTCGGCTACCTACCTTTTTAGTCACTGATAACTTTAATTAGGTCTGGCGAGCTGGGTTGAAATCACGAGTCCATGGAGCCGGGACACAGTTTGAATACCTGTGTTTGGAGCTAAGGGCAACCGTGATTTCAAACAGGAAATATCTGGATTCCCTCCGACATAGTATTTCAATCAAGGATTTATATATATATATTATTTCAACCATCGTCAACATATATATAACAAAGAGGGCCCGGGCCCCTTTCATGACCCATCATTAATAACGAGATAGAAGTAAGTAATGGGGATTCATGAATAAAAATAAATTTAAAATAGTTTTATTTGGAAAAAATAAAAGCAGGTTATCATGGACCTAACGCCGTTTATGCCTTGACATACTGCTTCAAATATATATATTTTTTAATATATATATGTTTTTACAAAACACGAAACCCAATTGCCCGACTTAAACCGACAATGCAATATCACTTTAAATAGCTGATCACGCCTGCTGGTTTGATTTTAAGAATTCGAGCATAGCAAACTAGATTGACTTTATGTAAACTCGAAATACCACAAGTTCTCAAAAATATTATTAAATCAAAATTATTTTTCCGTTACAACCTATCTGTAGGGCTCAGGCGACTCTAGATTAACACTCTTTAGTTGATGAATTTAAACAGCCTAGTTCAAAATAATATCTACGCATACATAAATGTAAAGATGAAAAATAAATAAATATTTCAAAGTCAGATGTTTGACGAGGACCTAAGTCGAAATCTCTTCAGGAAATATGGTTTAGTTAGTAGGTGATTCGCACGAGATAAAGACAAACAATAATGAAATTATGACGTCAGAATGCAACAAAACTTTTCTAAAAGTTCTTTCTTTTCATTATAAAAAAAACGACTCGAACCTGCAATATGTCCGCAAGCGACTTGTCACGGGATCAAGCCGGATTTACCCCCGAGCAGAAAAAATTACAATGGTGTGAATACGTGAGGCGAGAGAAACATATAGCTGATAAGGCTTACGATTCTTGGGGAAAAGCTTACGGTAAGTGAAGCATACTGAATCTGCAAATTTGACAATATTGACTGAATTATTTGGTTGTAAGGTAATTTGAAAGAAAAATAATTTTCAGGTACCTGGTTAACAGAAGAGCAGATCAAGCAAAATCTTTCATATTTTAACAATAGCAAAGATCATAAAGAATATTCAGAATATGAACGATTGTTTCACCTGAAAAGGGGATACGAAGAAAAATTGCATCGAGACGATCGAGCTAATAGGATTGGTCTAAATGTTCACGATGAGGTGAAGAGAATAATTATGCTTTATGCCAAGAAATGTTGAATTTTGTATGGTGGATGAGACAAGTTGTCTTAATCTAAAGCAACAAGTCTGTTTGAATTATTCACATAACTTTAAAACTAGGACACAGTTCAAACCCATATCTAACAATGTGATGGTATTTCCCAGAGGGGAAAAAATCCAATAATCGAATAGTCGAATGACAAACTTGTGGCATACAATTAAGATGTGTTCAAGATTTAGTCTGAAATAAATTCTTCTTAAATGCGACATGTACAGAATAAAACTAGTTAATTATATCCCTGGGTGATAGACAACTAGTGAGGAAAGTTAAATCTTACTTTTGTACCATGTAGTATGGCATATGAACTTCAGGCATTTTTTCAAACTTAGGAAAGAAAAAAGGCGGTTCCTATTCTATCTTCATCAGTTTACGGCATTCGTCCAAAGCTAGAAGAACAGGCCAGACAGCATGTGATAATTGAAAGCGTCAACAAAGGATTTTATCGATCACGAGGGACAAATATTCCCAGTAGTTCAACGCCAGGATCCTAACATTCCATGCTTTATGTACCGTATTTAACTTAAATTTTAGTGTTAAATCAATGTGTTTCATAATACAGTATTTGTTAAATTTATATTGTTACTTACTTTGACATATTTACAGCCATAAAATAAATTTGTGTTGAGTAACCACTTCGAAAAGCACCAGGATTTTCTGGGAATGAATATCATATCGAAAGTGCCGTACACGCATCCATGACGCATTGGTTTTAATTGAACGGTTAAAATTTGGTGCCTTGGTGAACTTGAATTCCCGAAATCGCACTTGTCAAACAACAAATTAGACAATGTCAAAAGGCGGCAATTTCCCAACATTATCGATACTTTTTCGACAGATACTTGACAGTGTAGTGTCAGAACTACGTAAAACAGTGGTCAGCAAACCCTATGTACATGCGGGCCAAATATACACATTTCCGGTAGTGTGCGGGCCGCATCAATCTCCGCCTACAAACAATCGCCACACTTACCTTCAAATTATGGCGCACTCGCACATTCTATGGCTGTGTTAAAAAACTTGCCACAATGAGACGTGCTGTATGTGGTCTTTTTAATATATTATCAAACACAGCATTGTTTTTATTTTCTCATTATCAATGGGATCTGTGTCATATCAACTTCGTTCCCCCCGATACTTCTCCAAATGACGATCTGACAATCGATTGCGAAGTTTATTCTTAGTGTAATTCTATAAAGCGGCTCACAGCAATATGTGCTTCCGTGCACATTACACGTATTTCTCTGTCGCACAGACGGTTATTTAAGGGCCGCAAAAAAATAGCTCGCGGGCCGCAGTTTGCCACCCCTAGATTTTATCCACCACATCAAGACTGTAAATCATACCGATTTGTATCACAAGTCGATCACATTATGGAGTTCTTTATCTTTCAAATAAATAATGTCTTAATTACATCGGAATTTGTATTTTATATAAAAATATACAATAGCGATCCTACATAAGCACGCCAGCGACCAGCCAAGTTCTGCCATTCACGTTGTAATAATGGTCCGTGTTAATAATGGAAGACCCCTTAGACGCCTCTCACGTGCGACCTTTATATTGGACAGGTCTTTCTGAAACGATGGTATAAAAACGCCTCCTAAAACGCAGTAAATTATTAAGTTTTTATTAAATACGATTCACAGTCGAAGATTGCCGCTGTAGAACGCCAAGCAACGTTTTAATTTTGACCTGGACGCTTATTCTGTTACGTACCTTTGTTACCATGTCATAGACAAAGACATACTCATAGACAAAGCTGCAAACGGCCACCAACTAAGACGAACAATATTTATTTTTTTGTCTAGGGTTTAGGGCAGGGTCGTCCAACCCGTCGTATGTTTCCGAGTGGCCCGCGCGGTATTATTCGAATCCCAATGTCTTTTACAAATCTAGGCCATTTTTGAAACCTCTAATAAAAAAATTATTCCTTGTCATTCAAACGTGCGAGAAGTACCACCCAGCTATCGAAATCTCATTTAGGTCCAATTGTGAGCGTTATTGCTGGAGAGAGATGTTTGAACTTATTTTTATCGTGTGCCATGTATTTTAATCTGTTTTTCTGTCCTTTTTCTTTGAAGCTAGAAGAGGCGCTTTTTTCATGACCTAAATATTTGACAGCACATAGGCTACTTGTACGAGCAAGTTTTTTTCGCTGATGAACCAATTCAAATCCCCTGTGAGATCACTAATTTCTGACAGGCATATAAAAAATTCGCTATGCATTGCTACATCGTCCATCGCATATTGACAAACTCATTGAATAAAAGCGGTGTCATACTTGGCATTGAAATATCTATGTTTGGTAAAAACTTTTGACTTAACTGTATCTTGAAAACTGAAACATAAAAACCATGTCAAGTGGCCCGCGCAATCACTCGTAAACTAAATGTGGCCTTTTGGCCAAAAAGGTTGGACAACCATGGTTTAGGGTTTAACCTAAATACAGTGAAATCTTGGTAGTCGACATTCGGACAACTCTGTAGTCGACAAAACAATTCTAGTCAAAAATGCTGTGGTACTCGAACTAAAATCCGGTGCTCGAACACCCGAGCGCGCCGCCGAGTGTGATGATGTCAACCAAACCGCGCGTATCGGCTGTCTCTGGACCATTCAACATTGACCGATGCTCAAATATGTGGACACGAAAGTCAAAAGAAGTAATACGGGTATGCAATCTGTCACAATGAACTACCGGGACGGCAATCTTCACGACTACGCGATTCTCACGCGAAAGCGGAACCGCCACGAAGTGCACAATTTTGATAACGTCATCACACACAAAAATGAACCCCATAGAGCCCACAAAAATATGCTCAAACGTACCGTAATTGATACAATTTTTTTTTTTTTCATCTTCATTATGTACACATTTAAATAATTATTGTTGTTTCGGTGCACGTTTCGTTAATATGTTGGTTATTTTGGAATGCGTAGGAACGAATTAAATAATGACCATTGTTTCTCATGACAAAAAAGTTTCATTACTCGAACAAATCGATAGCAGAACACTAATCCTAAACGAATTATGTTCGACTACCGAGGTATGTTGGTATCACTGGTAATTTAATCTTCTGCACATTCCCACATTGTCTGAAACAGAGGAGAATGATGAGCCTTTGAATTTATTGCAAGCACATTCCATGATATTTCAAAATTAGGTATTAAGATATTAGCGAAATGCAAGCCCGTAACGGCTCGACAAAGTTGATATTCACCGAGAAATCACGAAACTGAACATGAAACGTAATATGGGAATAAGAAGATAAAAGAATGTGATAATAAAGTGATCAAGTGATCATATTGCAAGGTAATCCTGATACTCTAGCAAACACCCGATGAATGTAGTCAGTGCACCACCATACTATTCAAAAACATTTGGTAAAACACCATATAATAGCATAGAAGGCTATTTTATGAGAGCCGTTTGTCGCATTGTAAAATCGCATCGATAAAAATCTTACTTACACGTGCTTGGCATATGAAGGCATTGTAAAAATTGTCATTCTTTCTTTCAAATTCAAAACATAATACCAGGTAGTATGAGTTCGCAAATATTGCGGATCGATGTTACTTGAAGGGTGTTATATAATCGTCAGCAGATACGGCGAGGCTTTATCCGTTAAAACTTACCGCAAGCAGGACTTCAACAAAAGGAAGTCTGTGCTGCTTTCGGCTGCAATAATTGAAACGTCAACGCTTCCAAAAACGTATAGATGTAGAGAATGAGTGAGCGTCAATACCAGAAAGACCTAGCATAAAAAATGACACTGGAGCAACTACTTTTTGAGGACAATCAGATAAAATTTGAGTAGGCATATTACTTTGCTTTGATAATCATAGTAATTATAAACAAGTTTTAAATATTCGAGCCTGTGATAAAAAAGTGACAAAGTTTTTTATGGGCTTCTGCGTTGTCAATATGACATGCAATAACATTGATTCATCGAATGATTGAAATAAAATGGCCACAGTTTTCTAATTATATAGTAACAGCAACCGAGAAATGCATGTTTTGACTTCGTGGTATGTACAAACATTTCACAATATCATATACTAACGTTACTAATAATAATTGAACAAATATTTAAACTTCACGCGACGCAGATACCAGTGAACGCACCAATAACAATAACTGCAGCGTAAAGTGTTGGTTCGAGAATTAGATGGTACAAGTAACTCGTAACGTCAAAATTTGTGCGAGGTTTTTATCGTTGAAAGAAAATGACCTTTCTTTTAAATATTATTTTTCCTCAAAAACAATTAATATTAAATAAATCTACTTGGCGAGAATTTACTTCTGTTAAAAGAAATCAAAATCGCATTGGAAACTTCATCAAGATACCGAGCGAAAAACGAATTCGCTCCTCCGATATGTTTCACCTTCCAAATGGGAAATTCCGTTCAGTAGACACTAGAAATCCGATAAAGAGTGAGATAGCGGTGTTTAATCAATACGAATGTCAGCTGCAGCTTTTGAATGCCAAAAACACGGGTCACGTCGTCATACAGTAAATTATACTAGAAGCTAGTAATATTTTATCCAATTGAGGTGGAAATTTTTAGATATTGCAAAAATGTCAGCTAGCTTTATTTCGAACAATAACAATGAAAAAGAATCAGATAACAGTGACACAATTGTTCGATATTCGTCAAGGGGCATGAGTGAGGATTCTGAATGTGAACTACTGAGAAAGTTTTCAACAGATGGGAATGCAGATGGCGATGTGGTGAGTTTCTTTCTGTATTAAATCTCCATTAGCTATGTCATTCATAAAACCTGGCATTGTTATATTCTGCAAAATAACTTTAATTATTCTGACATAAACATGTTAAATAAACGATTCTTTTGTAATTAGTTTATGATTAGATCGGATTGGGCTTTTTTCAAATTTAATAGATATTTTACAATGATAAACTCGACGCGATCTATATATTTGCAGTTTTTCGAAGGATTCGATCCACGAACCAGTGGTGATTCGGCTACTGGATTGCTGGTCAGCTCAGGTGGTGATGTTGAAAGTTTGCGAGAAAAAGAAAGAGAACAATGGGATAAGAAAATTGATTACATTTTATCCATGGTCGGATTTGCTGTTGATCTTGCAAACGTGTGGCGATTTCCATATTTATGTTACAAGAATGGAGGAGGTACGTATGTTCTAACTAAATATACACCCAAACAGTATTCGATGCAAGTATTCGTGGGCGACGAGATTTATGGCTTTTCCCGAAAATCGTAGAAACTGGGTATAGACAATAATGAATGCACCATTGTTATAAGTAAATTATGTTTGGCTGATTACTTGAAGCGTACTTTTAACTATAATTCATCTGTAATAAGAGATCACTTGACCAAAAAGAATGTTGATACATGAAATTTTTTTCATTCACACAAAGTTCACAAGTATTTGCTATGATTATATCCACTGATTAGTGATGATGTACTGCTTTTCTCGTTTACGTCCATAGGAACGCTAGTGGGTGTTTATGCGAAATGAAATGTACAACTTCAGTAAATTTAAATGTCAAAAGGCGTCGTGTAAAAAATATATATATTATAAGTCATCCAAGTATTATTAAACGGATGTGATAGTGCTGGATTTGCGGAATCTTCAATGATACATTTCCTGTGCTAGCCACAATACATTACTTTAACTGCGAAATGGTGCCAATATTAACGTTTTTTTTTTGTACCCAAATTAAATTTCGTAAAGGTATGTTAAAAAGAGGAATTTTATTTAACGCAAAGCTGCGTATCAAATTAATTTCACCTTTACTTCTATCTCATCATTATTGGGGTTCAAATTAAAATTGATGTTCGTCGGCGAATTTGTCCGTGATGCACAGCGTGAATGATCCAAATTGTTTCAGGTGTAACATGAAAACTTTGCTGTAAAAAAGGGTTTGATTCCTTGAAATTAGAACAATGGTAATCAATGATCCATATCTTCAGCTTTAACTTATTATCTAACTTTGCAAGCAAGTGGAAGTAAACTCATTAATTAAGTTAGTGTTTGGCTGTTGTGCTCGTCACTTTCGTGAGTTTTACGCCGGCATTTTATGTCAAATTTTCATAAAAGTATTTCTTATTACCTATATTTGATGGATAACTAAATAAATAAAAATACTTTATTCGCTAAATATACGATTCAAAATAAGCTAGATCTGGGCACTTCGAATCGAATATTCGATTCGAATAGTAAATTATTCGAATCGGTTCAGAGCAAAATTTCGAATCGCCGTCATCTTGTTTTTTTCTTTCCACCAATGGTCGAGGTGAATTCTCTAATTTTTTTTTTTTCATCGAAGCCATATTTTTTTAATGCCATTCTGACATATGACTATTTTCTGAGTGAGTTAATGATAAATATGTGTTTTTATTGCGTGTGAACGCTCAGCAATCTGTCCAAGTGATGTATTCTATGTTTCCAGTCATTCATTTGTTGACAGGACCAATTACAATAAAAAGTTGCATACAATTACATATTTCTCATGGACTCCCAAGTGTTCGAGATTCGATTTATTTGAAAAAAATTTTCGATTCGATTCTGAAATCACCAGGTATTCTGGTGATCAAAATAACATGAAAATTTCGATTTTGAGAGTAACTAAATTAAGGAAACCTATAAAATAATGAGGCAATGACTCAAATTTAAACGCGCTCCGTAAACGAACCTAAAACGTCACGATATATAATATATTTTTGCTTTTTCACACAGGAATATTTCTCATCCCGTACACGATATTTCTATTGCTGGCAGGAATTCCTTTGTTTTTCATGGAGCTTGGACTTGGGCAGTTCAATAAACAAGGGCCAGTCACAATATGGAAAATTTGCCCACTTTTCAAAGGTAAACTTTCGGAAGGAACATCATTGTTTTGTAATGCGAGTTAATTAATTCTCAGCTTTTATTGTTCTTATATATAATGATGTTCGGCAAAACCTAATTTTCCCAGAACTTGTAAAAAAGTAAAAAACAGTTATTTTCAATAGAAAAGCAAAATGTGCTGTTCCCAGTGATTAATTAAAAAGAAACCGCGTTATTTTTTTTTTTCGAAAACAATAACTAGAAATTGATTGTTTGAGGACATTATGACGACTTTTTGTAGAATATTCCCTATAGCCAGCAAAATTGTATCAATTTACAATAAACGTTAATTCTCCTATTCAATCCATCTTAGGAATCGGATACGCCATGATGCTGATAACATTGTACGTTATGTTTTATTATACGTGCATAATAGCCTGGTCAGTATATTTCATAGCTCGGTCGTTGACGAGTTTTTTACCTTGGACCTGTTGTGGTAATGCTTGGAATACAGCAAACTGTCGTGAACAACTTGGGAATATTACAACTAATCCAATTTGCGGTAAGTGCGCATTCATTAGCATCATATCCTACACGAAAATGAGGGCGTAATATCCCCTTTAGAAGAGGAAAGTCGGTAGTTTTATGTATCGTATCATCGTCAGCTATTTTATCATTATGATTCTTTTAGCTTGACCCCATGAAATGCCGATATAATATAATTTAGCCACATGAAAAGTACTGCATAACATACGTTGTGCATATTAATTATCATTCAGATGAAAGAAGAAATGCTTCATTACTTAACAGTACTTTTGTGCAACCAAACTTAACACGGGAAGTTGATGAAACCGATATATTTAAGCATACACCTGCTTCAGAATTTTACTAGTAAGAAAGAGATATTTTATAAAGAGACTGTCACGATATATACAGAATTTAAATTATTTTTAAGCGTGATCTAACTCAAATATCTGAAACGTATGAGATATTTTTTTTTAATAAATAAAAAATATAAATCAACATATGATTGTGGAAACTTGGACAGATTTATTTAAATAAATATATTCCCAGAGATTCGAATGACTACTAGTCATGAATTGAAATTTAGTTTTACTTAATAAAAATAAGCAAGCAATGGGTTGGTATTTAGCCTATATCCTATTGTAGAACGCCAATTTTACCACCAAACTATATAAAAACAAAAATTGTTTTGGATTTATTGGTCTTGTATTTTATTTTGATTCTACAGTCGCGAAGTTCTACACGTTCATGAAAGCAGAGGAATCGATGATTTGGGAGTTCCAAGATGGGAATTGGCAATTTGCCTATTTATTGTAGTATTCTTACTGTTTGCTGTCATTGCCCGCGGTGTACGAACATCAGGGAAAGTGAGTATATAACGCAATCATAGGTATTTTTAAGTAATAATAAGTACTGATTGTGTTATGGGATCATCGTTTCTGTCTGATGAGCGTAGATTAGAACTCGATCAACGGAAACACATTTTTGGTATCACATAAATATAATATGAAAAACTGGAAAAAAGGTTACATTTTCGCTATATAGCAATATAACTATGATTAGGTAAATATATATGTATCTTCATTTTATCGAATACAACAATCCTTGTATCATTAGCTGCTAAGTGATATTTTTTTAAATGGATCCTGACAAGTAAAAGTATGTTGATCTAATCTTTCCATTCATTTCTGACTTCGACATGTTACACTTGCAAATACCACAGATCCCTTTAAAATTCCAAACTTAATTTTGTTACGCTGGTAACGAGGCGTTTGAAAATATAAATCTACTTACAGTATCCACAAACTTAACTACGCTTGACGTGTACATGCCTTAGAAGGTTAATTTATTTTAGCTTTTTCATGGATTAGTAGAGTTGACTTTTCCCTGGTAAATACTATATAGGCTACACGTTTTGTTGGTTTATTCAAACTAAAAATTTATATAGATATATAGAGATATCAAGATATTCTATGTTGAACTTAAAGCAAGAAAACAAGGAGAAAACATGAGCCACTTTCTTCAAATTCACAACTGTTGTGTTGTAAAGTTTTACAGGGGATTTGTTAGAAAAATATAATCTTAAAATAAATCCAAAACTGTATTACAGGTTGTGTGGGTGACTGCAACAATGCCGTACATTGTTTTATTCATATTGATGATCCGAGCAGTTACGTTACCTGGTGCAACATTAGGAATTCAGTATTATTTGAGTCCAAATATTACAAGACTCGGTGATGTGGAGGTAATATTAGTTAGCAATATATAGTTATATTTATTATTGTTTCTCGAAAATTAGAATGAATTAAATTCTGTAGTTTGTATTTTGATATTACTGAAATTTGTTTCTCTTTCTATGTCTCAGGTTTGGACTGATGCTGCCACACAAATATTCTATTCCCTTGGAGTTGGATTTGGAGTCCACATGACATTTGCAAGCTATAACCGTTTTGACAACAATATCAGAGTGAGTCCATATTACCAAAGGCAACATGCATGCAGGTTTTGCCCGTTTTACCTATTACATAAGCAGGCATAGGTGAACAAAATTAGCTATCTCCATATTGGTACACATACTTTTGGAGCGCCCAATTTTGTCCATATGATTTTAGTTGTGTTCACCAATTCGTGAATAATCGTTGATATCGGACTATCTGAAAAGTTTAACGAAATCATTCTATTAATGACGTATCATTTAATACAGCTGAGCTCAAATTTTCAAGACAAAAATCCATGCACATAAATTAAAATGCAACCAAAAGAAACTATTTATTGCAAGCTGCCTAATATTTTTAACTTTATGGAAAAATTTCAATCGGCTCTGCGCCATTTTTCATTTTTTACAACTGCTTATTAGAAACATTTTACTTTAGTTTGATGCAATCGTGACGTCGCTTATCAATTGTTGTACAAGTTTTTTGTCCGGTTTCATGATTTTCTCAGTTCTGGGATATATGGCGGTGAAAAACAACGTGGATATTGATAAAGTTGCCACAGACGGTTAGTTTTTCAATTTACTTACGCTTATTTGACGCAACATTCTGCTGGAAGTTGGAAAATGAGAGATGTCAATTACATTTAACAGGTCCTGGACTGGTATTCGTTGTATATCCTGAAGTCATTTCGCAAATTCCTGGAGCACCGTTCTGGTCATTTGTCTTCTTTGTCATGTTGCTAACGTTGGGAATTGACAGTGCGGTAGGTATGCTTAGTTCATGACACAATTGAGCAGAAGCATTCGTGATTCCAGCCCATTCATTCACGAATGTACATTTTTGTAAACAGCATTCAAGCCTATCTATATCTTGATATTTTTAAATAATTACTCTAAAATACCTCAAACTAGAATTCGGAACAGCATAATTTTCATATAGAAATTATACATATATATTTAATTGCAATTCAACACTTTATAGATGAGCGTTATAAATAACTGACACTGTAACTAATTTAGATGGCAATTAGTGTTTTTGGTGTGCCGAACATTTGGCTAATGAACTAATTGAAGTTTTCCAGTTTTTTCATCGCACGAAAGCGATGATTTGATCAATTACGTCAGCTTGCGTGATAATCTTTACCTAATAAGTTTATTTCACCATTTAACTATACAGATGGGAGCAATGGAAGCTCTAGTCACCGGTATAAGCGATGACATCATGTTCGTCAAAAGGCATAGAATATTTTTTGTTGCCGGATTGAATATTTTCGTCTACTTTCTTGCATTCTTGAACATAACAAATGTGAGTGCATGAAAAATGTAGATGATCTTATAAAGTTGATGTCAGGTACCAATTGCTGCATGTTCGTTGTCAACCACAGTCGATACCTCCGTAGCAACAGTAGAGATTAGCGTGTCAGTCAGAGAGCGGTCTGTTATATCTCCCATTATATTAGTAAACGCCAGTAGTTTTGCCATCCCTTAAATTAACCTTGAACTGAAATACTACTTCCATGCACTAGTGCAGTATAATCATTATTGCCCTGTGGATGGATAAACAGGTACGTTAGAGCAGGGTTTTCCGAACTGGGGTCCGCGGACACCCGGGGGTCCGTGACAACTGCGCAGGGGGTCCGCTTGCCGTCCGATCTATGAGTTTGCTTGTCACAAATTGCTCCGAGAATCGAAAAATGGTGCAGTGAGAAGCAAAAGCCTAATTCATCACATTAATATCGTTGGTATTGCCGTGTTGCAAATGAAACATTATTTTTCCTCGTGGGTTAGGCACAGAAATTGATACGACATAGCACGGAGGTACGGCAAAATTAAGATTCTTACCGAAATATTCACCTTAGAATTAAATAGGACAGCGCCCAATCAATTTATATTCTTCCATTGTCTATTTATTTCCAAGATGGTTTCGATGTCATTGAGGTTTTTTTGTATGACGGTCTGCCGAATGTCTTTCGAAGGTCTCACTCTGACCACTGAAACGCCACCGGATGAGTTCTTTGGTATTAAAATATCGGTTGGGGCATAACACGTGATGAATTAATAAAAGAAAGCGAGCAGGCAATTTTGAATAATCATGTTCACTATTTTGATAATAAACTTTAGTTAGGATATTAGGTCGTTGAAATATTTTAGGCCTTAAGTCTCAAAGGCCATGACAGGCAGTCACTTATAAACACTTATTTGGTTGTCGAATTCTAAAAACATGATATTTCTTTAAAGGGTGGAATCTACATTTTAACTCTCCTGGACACTCATTCTGCTGGAACATCTCTTCTGTTTTGTGTCTTCTTGGAAAGTACCGTTGTTGCGTGGGTTTACGGCGTTGATCGATTTTCTGAAGACATTGAACAGATGCTGGGATATATACCAAACGTTTTATGGAGAGTGTGTTGGAAATTCATTAGTCCGGCATTTTTGTTGGTTTGTCATTTGATTAATTTTTGTTAAAATACAGAAAAGTTATTCGCTTTATGTCATTCATGCCTTTCATTTGATATTGTAACACTCGACGGTAAAATTTAAAATCGGTACATTAATGTTAGTATCGTTTTTAAAACCCGTAATTTGAATGTTGACTGTTCTCTTTATATATTATGTATACAACGAATATACACTATTGTACCAAATCATGATTACAATTATTTTAGTTCATCGTCATCATGAGCATAGCGAACTATTCATCTATGGAATATGGTTCGTATAAGTTTCCTTCTTGGGCAGACACAGTTGGATGGTTAATCGCGGGATCGTCGATGATTTTGGTACCATGTGTTGCCATTTATAAACTCAGTGTTCTTCCAGGAAACTTCAAACAGGTTAAAGCTATTTTATACATGTTGCAATTGCACAACATTGTCAATGTTTCGTAGGTACTGCCGTAGTATGTGTACCAGATTATGGTTAGGCCATAATTTTATCCCGATTTTCCTTCTATTAGTTATATTACGAGTTCGGGGACTGTTTGTGTTAGCCGAGTGAATATACCCGCTGTCCTTAGGTTTCAGTCCCTTTACCCAACTTGATGTAAAGTAGGCGAACAAAATTAGTTACCTCCATATTGGTACACATTGCTTGAACTTTTGAATATGAGGTGAATAAAACAACTTGATGTATAATATGTAATTTAACTAAAACTGTTATTTAATCCATAACCTCAGTAACTTTTTGCCAATAGATGACTGAAAATGACGTTTTATCATTGTATTTTCTAGAAATTGGCACTTTCAGTTTCTCCGGAACAAGATCACAAATCAATTATAGAGGGTCGACTTACAGTCAAGCAATCCCAGGTAAGTTGGTGCGTCGATTCGCATGTTTGAATTTATCTTTAACATTAAAAAATATTCAATTGAGATTATAAAATGATTGATTTAATTTTTTACAAAAACATAATTTCAAAACTCTCTCGATTCGAGCAAAATTTAATACTATAAATCCATTTATCTCTAAATATAACAATTTCAGTTATTACTACTCGTATTTTTCAGCTGAAGCATTGGACAGCAATATGAAAAAATGAAATAGGGCGTTGATTTTGAAATTTTTGTCAATATATTTTATTCCTGTTACAACTTTCTACTTATGTACAGCATATTGAACTGAAAGTATAAATAAGTTCATGACGATATATTGCATGTTCTGTTTATAGTTGTAAATATTTTTACAATTTCTATTTACTTCTCAATAGTTCACATTACAACTGGTTGTGGCAAAATAGTTAGCGCAAGATATTCTAACGGTATGTTTTGATTGTTTAATATTGATTGTTTTTCGACTGGACTTTGATGTGAATACATTCTTGGTATGTTCCCACTGAGTAAAGAAAGTAAAAAATTCAGATACCTATTATAGAAAGGAGAATCCATGCAGTAAATCGATTTTTCGGGGTAATCTTTGAATGATCTCTCCAACGTTAGTTGAAAAAAAGTATAAAATAAAGAATGCTGATAAACTATCAGGAAATATATGAAGAAAAACTCTTTCATATTTGTAAAAATGACGTTCCGATTAATATGAACATTGTTAATTAGGAAGACTTTCCATACGCAGGCAAATAGAATGTAGAAATAGTGAAAGACGACAAGACGCAGGTAACTTTACTCAGAGATGATTCTACTACTAAGCAAGTGCGCATGGCTTTGTTTTGAGTAATTTCACTGAAAAGATTACCACGTCATCCGAATAAACAAAGCGGCTGGTTTAATTAACTCGGGCACCATCAATATGTATAATGTCTTCATAACCTGCATAAGACATAAGAAACCGGGACAGTGCAGATTGAGCAAACTTTGGTTTGTTGCAAGGGTTAGTAATATTGAAACCTGTTCTTCCACGCCATTGCGGTTAATACCGAACATCATAGTATTTAAAGCAAGTTCATTAAATATCTACTGCTCTACAAAGTAGAAAAACCCTTCGTCTTTTTACGCCTCAAGAGTTGGTGTTGCGATTTATCCTCTTCATTTTAAATTATTTTGATTGAGAACAGAGAGAAAATATTCAATGAATATTTCGACGGTTTTCCCCGGGTAGAGATGCAAAACCTAAAAGTATTATCGCACACTAACATTCAGTAAACAACAGCGAACCACAACGGGAACAAGCTTTATATCTTCCTATAGCATCTATATGATTACTGATATGAAACTAGTTGGAAGTAAATCGCCGTGAACTTCAGAGGAGAATAGCGGAGCAATGCAATCACCCACTCGCATCTAGTTTCGGCTAATGCAAACTTAGGCTAACAAACTTTTGATATTAACATGGATATGCAGCTAAAATGTGCCCATGAAAATAGCCTTTAATGTCGCTTTTGTGGTTGCATTATCCCGACTTAAATGGGACGTATGGTAAGCCTAGATATACATCATCAATCAAACATGAATGAATCGTGGTTTGCTATAAAAAAACGGCGCTCCCGAAGATGGCGCACAACCTGAACCCTAACCTGGTACACACACTATGTTCGGGTTGTGCGCTATTGCAGTTGCTTGGCACTACTTATATCATATCGCACATCATCTACGATGCCAAATCTTCATTGAGTAATATAACATTAAACGTCCGTAAAAACTTTAACATTAAGTTAAGTTCTTTTTGAATAGCCACCGTACGCGAAGCAATGTTGTGTGAAGCATGAGCAGTGGAAATGAAAGCCACAGAAGAAAACCCAAACAACTAGCATATCACAATCTAAGCAAACAACTTCGAAACAAGATAACAATGATCAATATATGGACGAAGGTTCAATGAGTAACCCCAGCTACCGAATAGTTTGTGCCAAAAGAATATATTACATTTACTTTTCTATTTCAAAACGAAACTATTTACCGTGTCATTATAGATGTGGAAGCGCGGAAAAGGTTTTTAACTGCACTTGCTTTGACATAGCTAAATTTATATTTGTCCAAAAACAAATTTACTTACCAAAAATAGAAAAAGGAAACAGTTTCCGTCCCCTTCTGATTTCTCGGACACCGTACGAAGCAACTGACCGAAAGCGATGTAAGAGCGTTCACGCTTAACGTGATAAAACAGGGCTCACGCGAATAAAAACAGAAAAATTTTGGGTCAAAATTACAAATAATTATCTTTTGGCGCATTTTTTTGCACCGAAATAGTTGCCATAACAGCAACAACGAAACTAACAACAGCAACAATAGTTTGGAAAAACGATCCGTATTGTCGATTCATGTTCAACAATTAACAACTAACTCTAAGCAAAATTGAACCACGATTGGTTGTCGGTTGTCTACTTTGTAAATCTAGAACAGTGGTTCTCAAACGTTCTAAGCCGCGTCCCCATTTTAGACTAACTAGCTAACAATGAGCTACAATTAACAAATAGTAAGCCGGGAGTATGTTATATTCAAAAACACGTTGAAAGTGCTTGGATGGAACGTAAATAATGAAATAAATGAAAAGTTTCGAAATATAAATGTACACAATAAGGCGGACAAAATCAAATCCAACAAATACTTTCATTATTAATTAGCTTCATGCCCTCTCAAAAATTGTCTCCCCTTTGTGGGCCGCGCCCCACCGTTTGAAAATCACTGATCTATAACTTCATGAACACCGAATTTTGTGCGACGGCGGATATGTATTTAGTATTATTGGGCCACATACTGATCGTCGTTTATGTAAATACCCTCTCTACTGGTTAGTTCTCATTAGGGTACAAACAATAGGAATTCCCGGCCAAGAGTTCTAATCGAGGTAAATAAACAAGTACATGTAGCCATATTAGCGAGTGGCTATTATTATCATTGAAGATTTTATTATGAAACCGATGAACAGCAAAAATGAAATTATGCAAGTGATGTACTCAATAGAACATCATCCAACAATAAAGTTGGAAGTTTAAAAGAATTTGTCGTATCAAAACAACGACACGAAGGAATTGGAAACAAATAACACTTTGTCAATAGGTAAAACAAATAAATTAATGCTGATCTCATTTCAGCAAGAGATCAGTGATGATGGGTAAGGCAATTTGGACACAAAATCCCTACTCATGATGAAGTATCATCACACATACATGATACTTCGCTCGACAGAGAATCTAAGAGAAGGAAGAAAATATATTTTCACCACGGGATTATTAAAATCAATCAGAGTAAAATTCACCAACAGATTTTTGCCTCAACAACATTATTTTTTATGTTAGGTGAACTATCACTGAAAGATTCTGTTTCTCGTTCAAAGGATTTCCTTAACTGATGTGATACTTCAGGATACATCAATTTAAGTTGTTGTATGAGGTGATTGTGTCTTTTGTCTTTAAACTCATCTGCGAAAAAATATGAAATAATAAATTTGATAAAATGCACGGTACAATTAAGTATTATTATGTGTATTTTGTATTTGTAAATGTATTTGTCTACACGACAGGTGACAAACTTTGTAGCGTTACTTAATGACCAAGAGCCTTCCAAAAATTTGGTTTGTGTTACGGACTGCTAATAATCAAATTTCGGACCTCCAGAAGTATGTGCACCCAGATGGCGCACAACTTGAACATAGTATGTGTACCAGGTTAGAGTTCAGGTGGTGCGCCAACTTGGTACACATACTTCGGGAGCGCCCAAATTTCATTTTGTAATCAATTTGTTTACGGGATAGTGTCGCAATCTCGTTGCGCGATTTTTTGCTGTGTTTACTCTTATGATGTCACATCGAGAAGTTTTAGACTTGCCGATGTCGGCATTTGTCTTTGATTATCGAGACCCCTTTTTGCTGACTGTAACCAGGGCTGCCACTTTAGATGTTTTATAGCCAAATCTAGATGTTTTGTTCAAGATCTAGATGTAAAATTTGGAGTCTAGATGTTAGCTAGAAAATCTAGATTTTTTTTTCAACGTTCTAAATATTATCCAGTGGGAAATAAAAAAAAAGCTATGTGTATACTTAAACGAATAGTATTTAGAATTAGATGTAAGGTTGATAAAACTTGAATCATATGCCTGGTATGAAATCCAAGGGATTTTTATCACAAAACTGGAGAGAGCAATATTACTGTATAAAGTATATTATGCCAAAGTTTTTTTTTTATCTTCAGTATCTCACATAAACAGCTGAAACTGAGACTACTTTCAAATTTGACTGTTTCTGTTTCAAAAAAAAGATGTACAGCAGAAACATAAAACTCCCTCTGAAGCAATTGTAGCAACAACATCAACTTCAAATGATCTCCGAAATCTACTATGATGTAATTGTAATATAATGAACTATTTGTATTCTCTTATTTTGTTTATTTTTATTAAATTTAGTAACTTTATATTTAGATATATTTTTTGGATGTTTTGTTTTTCAATCTAGATGTTTTATTCAGAAAGAAGTGGCAACCCTGACTGTAACCATTGTAAAGAGGATTCTTTGAATATCTTGTAATGTGGTAAGTTGCGTATTACTTAGTTTAGTTCCGAGTGGTCCAAACCCAGGCCCGCAGGCCACATGTGGCCCGCAGCTTCATCATCTGTGGCCCGCAGCTTCATCATCTGTGGCCCGCGCCGTATTCGGGAAGAAATCAAAAAAATCGCATTTGATGTTGTTTCGTCATGCAACTTATCAGAAAAATCCTTCGACATATTGTTACATCACTAAAGTCACTGAATTGACTAGTGTTATAGCTAGCTGAGGCAACTAGCGAAGTTGAATGATATGCTTGGCAGTCTAAATTGTTATCTGGCTTTCTACATTTTTGGTCGGGAATATGTGCTAACAATTTTGGCATCATAGAAAACTAAAAATCGAATGCGGATTTTGTTAGCCTAGGTTGGCTATCCCTGATAAGTAAATATTAATGATATGGCCTAACAATATAATTCATGGCGGGTGTTTTTTGCAAACAGCCTAAACAGTATTACTAAAAATGCTGCCTAAATGTCAGATGCCTAAATGTCAAATTTAGTAATTACCCTAGCGATGCCTCACATTTGATAATCAATTAATCTGCAGTTATGTATAGGTTATTTTGTAAACATAAGTTTGAAAAGAAATCTGACGAATTCAAACAGGTTTTTAACTGGATGTGGGAGGGAAAATACCACAATGCTTGCTTGATATATCGTCAAGTTGTGTCGGTGACAAAAGAATATAATCTAAAACGGCATTTTAGAATCTTCTGAACTATGAGCATTTTCCACCAAAGTTGAGATTTTGCTTTGAAAATCTTATCAATGTTCGAAAGCACTAAAATTTGCGCAAGCACTCTATCCGTTATGCAGAGTTCGAAAATCTTACACTAAATGTAGATATAGAAAGACTTTTGCAGGTTTTGGTAAGTTTTTATTTTTATGTTTCAGCTTGATAAAGGCGGAATAATGATCAATATGTTTGCAAAATAAAAGTGTTTGTTTTGTATCGTACTGTTTATCTATTCTTGGCAC